TCTCTCTCTCTCTCTCTCTCTCTCTCTCTCTCTCTCTCTCTCTCTCTCTCTCTCTCTCTCTCTCTCTCTCTCTCTCTCTCTCTCTCTCTCTCTCTCTCTCTCTCTCTCTCTCTCTCTCTCTCTCTCTCTCTCTCTCTCTCTCTCTCTCTCTCTCTCTCTCTCTCTCTCTCTCTCTCTCTCTCTCTCTCTCTCTCTCTCTCTCTCTCTCTCTCTCTCTCTCTCTCTCTCTCTCTCTCTCTCTCTCTCTCTCTCTCTCTCTCTCTCTCTCTCTCTCTCTCTCTCTCTCTCTCTCTCTCTCTCTCTCTCTCTCTCTCTCTCTCTCTCTCTCTCTCTCTCTCTCTCTCTCTCTCTCTCTCTCTCTCTCTCTCTCTCTCTCTCTCTCTCTCTCTCTCTCTCTCTCTCTCTCTCTCTCTCTCTCTCTCTCTCTCTCTCTCTCTCTCTCTCTCTCTCTCTCTCTCTCTCTCTCTCTCTCTCTCTCCGTATCCCCCTTTCGAAATCTATATGCGAAGGGTGGTTGTTTACATGGTGGAAAGGCAACTCGATTTAATTCGGTGATGATTTTTTAACGAGCTCTCCACCGTGGCTGGTGTGACGGTCTCGTAGATTGGGTTTCCGGGGCCGGTATTTTGGCTTTTCCATTTGATCGCGGGACAACCCGGGCGTTCGTTCATTGAAGAGCGGAATTGCTTTTGGAAAAAACGTCACGCGAAACAATCATCGATGAATATGAATGATTTTTTCGCGTTTCCACCGACCGCGCGAAAGTTCCGGAAAACGAGGAAAATTGGGGGAATGTCGGGAACGATTAGATTGGAAGAAATTCGCGAAAGCGTTTGATTTGGATAGCGAAAGAAAAAAGAATGTGGAAATACATTAGGAATTATTAGGTTCCAGAAAATTGTAGCATCTTCTTTCGACATTTTCACGGAGAAGATCGACACTGAGAAGAGAATTGGAGAAATTCGCCAATCGAATGATTAGGAATAGCAAAATAATGGAAAATATGGAGTTCCATAATTGAATTGCTCGAGCGAAATAATCAATATTCAGAAAGGAATTGAAAACATATTAAAAATTATTCGAATCAAGGAAATCATTAATGTTTCATAATTTAATTGCTCAAGGAATATGATTAATATCCAATTACTCCCATGCTGTTAAGGTAAAAAATGAACGTTAGTGTTGAAGAATGACAGAGATCTGGAATTACAAGTCAGATAAAAAGCAGGCTCGATGAGAATCAAGATAGCCTACCTAGATAATCAACGACGATAATCAAGAGTTAATCAAATAGAATACCTTACACCAATTAGCTACCGAAGCCTTTGTATCACCAGGAACTACAAACCTCCCGAACATTTCCACACATAAATCACTCTTCTCAAACCACGTCCACTTGCTTATTCATGAAAAACATTCCTGATCAGTTGCTCACGACGCCCGCCAAGGTTTTCTCCTTTTACTGAATCAACACCTCTCCTCGATACTTATCCTATAATAACCTCTTTCGTGATCGATACCTCATTACATCAATATCAATCTTATTAAATTTTCTGCCGTGAGTAAATTTCCGCGAACACGTTACGAAGGTGTCGAACCAGCTACCTGCTACTTGTCGCAATCTCTTTTTTTCTTAAACCAGAATTTAAAGAAAAAGAAAAAAAAAAGAAGAGATAGCGAGAGGAAAAAAGTGTAAAGCCGGCGAAAAAAGAGGGCGATCGCGATCACGATAAGCGGAGACTAATTAAAAACGAGTAAATTAGACTAACCAGTCGAGTAGACTCGGTTCGTGATCGGTGTTCAGCCACGCAATAATTCCGCGACGAGATTCTCCGTTCTCTTTCGTTTCCCGTGAGCCAGGTAGCACTCGATCTCTCTCGTTTCGAAGCGGTTTTTTAGCCGCGTTCCTTTCGAGCCCTCCGCCGCCTACGGGCGTTTCATTAATCTCGCGTCTCTCAATTTATTTTGTACGTCTTGTTAGGTGCCCCGGCCCGTTCTCGGGTGGTTATGTCTCACTCAAGAGGAGAGAACGCGCGCGATCCCGTGCTGGGTGATAATGAAAAGCGGACGCCCGGACAGGAGGAAGTCCACGGCGTTGGAAGGGGACCACGGAGGCGAGGAAAAAAGGAAACGAGAGGCGAGCCGGCCAACGCTGAAAGTATTACCGGCACGATCTTCCCGTTTGCCACAGCCGTGAGCAGTGAGTCATGGATTCGTTCGAACCAGGCTAGGCGCTCATCTGCGATTGCGATGCCTCGCTTTTCGCGCTGGAAATTCAACGTGATTACCGTGCGCGTAGATCGCCGATGAAATAATGCCTCATTTTTTGCGTATTAGCGGTGAGTAATTGTGATTCGATGGTGGAAAGTAAGATAATTTGGCGTGAGACTCGGTAAAGGATTATGTGTGAAGAAAAGTCAGATAGTAGAAAGGTCTAGTCGATTTCTCAGGCAAACGTGTGAAATGCTGATCGTATTGTAAACGCTCGTAAGCTTCGAAGCTGTACCGTGTGTTTGGTTCAATTGTACTTTTTAAGACATTTGGTTTAGAATTTCGAGGGACGAGTCCAAAAGCAGTAAATACTTTGCAGAGTTACGACAAAGCGTAAACATCGGAAACAAAAAAAAATTTCGAAATCAGAAATCTATATGACAAATTTTTATACATTATAATTCAATTATTTCGGACAAAAATACAATCGAACGTTTAAACTCCTGTAGAGTCTGTCGAACGATTCCACCCACGTTCTTACAATCGTATTTTGATCAGTCGCCAAGCAACTTATAGCATCCACGTAAACGGCATCGGGTCGTGACAAATCACCCCTAACAAAGCTTCTGTCGTCATATAGGATCGGTCCGAACGAGGGAATCGCGTAATTAACGTGTCTGATCATCGTGCTCATCTCTTAACGCGACGTGGCGGCCGATCAAAAACGTTCTCCTTATCGTTTCCATCTATCTTTCATCCGTGTTCATCCCACAGGACCGAAAAAGGGGACTCGCCCGGTGTACTGCTGACGTGTCCCTCTTTGACGAGCCACCACGGGGACGTTTCGTGACCCGCGCTTACAAACTCATTGTTCCACGTGCTTTCTTCAAATCTACGCGCAATCCAACGTAAACATCCTAATAGCGAATTAGCAAATAACGATGACCAAAGAGGACAACGAGCTTGACAATATTCTACCGCAAGGATTTTCATAGGGAATTTTACAACGTGCGAGTTCGAACACAGGAAACTTGATTTTTGTTTCGGGACATTAGCATGTTCCGAGAAATTCTAAATTAATACGTGATATAATACTTCGGTAACAGAGTTTATTGATATAATTTGTAAATGGCGCGTCATCAATTTTCTACGTCTGATATCGTTCAGTAGTCAAAGATTAAGTACTAATTTTAATAAGTCAATTTCGAAAGGTAATTGGAAAGTACCAAGAACCAAATTAACAATTTATTGCCCCTTGTACCTATTGCCTCGCGTCGCAATAATCGTAAAAAATATGAAAATGATACCCGCGCACCTTAGCCAGCTGAAGATCATAGTATTCAGAGAAAGTTTTATTAAATTATTATCGGTAATAGCTATGGTAGTTGAAAGAACGATGTTTGTCGCTGAAAAGGAATTGCGAGAGTACTACAAGAATCGAGAGTTCGATCGTGAGGGTTCGGAGAAAACAGAGACGAACGTGTAGGGAGAAAAGCGACTAGGAAAGCGTTGCCTCGACGTTAATTAGAAAGACAATCCTCATCAATCATGTTACGCAAATTCTGATCTACGTTGTGTTTTAACGGTTTTACGTAAGCATTCTGATGCGCGATACGTGCGCGTAATTAACGATTCATTTTTCTTGCGCGCTGTCTACCACGGGTAAAGGCAAGCAGCTCTTACGACATACGGCGTGTTATTCGATTCCCGAACCCCCACGAGGATGATACGCGTTTATTGGCGACACGAAATCGATCACTCTTAACCGCGCCACCATGTTTTCGTACTTGTGCTTTGACGACCACTCGGGCGAATAGAAAGACGAATAGAGTGTCTTTTAGAGTGATTCAACGTTTGTAAGAGATTTTAAGCAGACTCCAGAAATAGGTATTCATCTACTGCCTTTTCGAGTTCTTTGTCTATAGTTTTTCAGTAAGTAATCAAACTGAATGAAAATCAATGCCAAGTTTGAAAAATATAACGAACGAAATAACGATTCTCAATTATACTTTTTTATCTTATTGAGTGTAGCTTCCTGTATCAGATAACGCTATTTTCGATTATTCTAATTGTTAACTGTAAATTTTGGTAATTACTGTTCAATTATACCGTAAATAAAACGAAAGACGACATTGTTTATAAAATAACCTGACAGTGAGCCGAACGAACGCGATATCAAAATGAGGATAGTAAAAGTTGTAGTAAAAATTCTCTAAAAGAATATTTAGCCTGTTCGTGGAAGATAATATGAGAACGAAACATCCGTGGGCGATTAAAAGTCGCGTTAATTAACATCGGCATAATTACCTGTTACAAGACGATCGATTCCAGCTGGAGGAGACACGGACATATTAATTCGTGGCAGGAAGACCGGGCGAGTCTCTATCACGGCGTTCTGGATATTCCATTTCCACCTCGTTGCACGGTACCACGGTGATATAAATGCTAATTCGTGACGGGCATCTCCGATCGAGACTAGAGGAATCCGTACCTAATTTTCCTGCTGCCAAGGGATTCGCCGCGGAATAGAGACAGCTGTTTCTCCGCAGGAACACGAGAAACACGTCCCACTTTTCGCGCCAACTTTGACACATGCGCCCCGCGTGCAGCGTTTTAATTGCATCCTCATTATTATCTATGTAATTTCGTCCGATCAATTTTCCATGTATTTTCGACGAATACGCCTTTTTCTTGTGCTGATAATATCTGAAAATGAAACATATGGTGTTACTCGTGAATTGTTCCACTAGGTCTTAACGTATGAAATGTCCACCTTTTTGGATTAGTGTTAATACTACTTCCAAAAAGTAACGCAAATTTCAATTGCATAAAATTAAAACTGACAACGACGAATAGTTGATTACATAGCGTCACCTTTGTCAGAAACTGTATGAACATTACATACACTTTGCGATTGAGGAGCTATGAAATTTCAAAGTGAAAAATTTCATTACATACAGGTTCGATTGAAGAACTAGAAAAAACTCAGAAATATAAATCACCCGAATTTCTTGAGTATTTGCACTGAATGGTTTCCAACAAAAGATACGTAAAACCAAAAGGTACGAATTGAAATTCGATTCCATATAAATCAGATTGCTCATAAACAATATATTTCTCCATGCTCGTTTCTACACGAATAATTCGTAGTATCTAAATGGACATTTCGTACGTTATCAACCTACCAGACACTTAAAAGCAACTTGAAACAGTGATTATTCTTATTTTACTTGATTTTCAGTAGAAGTTTCGTATGATAAGTTAAGAGTGAAATGAAGGTATTTCAAAGCTGAAACAGTATGCTGATTAATTTCAATAAATCAAAAGATATAGAGAAGGAGTATCAAGCGTGGGCAGAGTCGATACACCTACGACGAAACACGACAACCGAGGAAACCGGAGGAGGGTTATTAAGACCAGTCAACATGTACGCTGCGTTTCGTACGAATATCACTGGATATCGCGTGAGGAACAGTCTCCTCGCTCGTAGATTGCATGCGCCGAACGTGTTACTGGCTTTGTCCACGTAAATTAATTATCTTCCACTATTTGTTCTGTTTCGTGAGCAACAAACACCATCGCGTGTGCACGTCAATGGATTCGGACATCTCGTACGTTTTCGATAGAAACGACTTTGAACGAGTACAAAAATTGAGAAACATATTTTCCTGGACTATGTCCGAGGGTACTACTGTTAATATAACATAACTGTTCGGTTTGTTTGAGGGCAGCACATATTTTTCTTAACGTTCCGCAAACTTCGAAGATATGAAAATATAGAAATATCTAATAGTTCGTCATTTGCGATTGCATCACGGTGTTAATTATATTGCCTACTACATTGGAAAATATTTGAAACGATATCGAGTGGAATTCGAGAATATTATTTATATCTGTTGCGTTAATCGAGCCGATTACAAGAGGCGAATTTACCAGTTTTCGAGGTAAACTGATAACCAAGCATCACGTGTCCTATTATCGACCACCGTGCTAGGCAATAAATGTCGATATATGCCTACTGGCACATGCGCGTGTAATCGAGTCCCCGTATGTTTCATCCTATCAGAGCTCCCATAGACGATGGCATCATTGATAGCGCGAAGACATCGCACGATAGATTCGCGCAGGACGTGCCTTCTATTTTGATCGCAACCACGAGAAATCCGATTGCACCTTGATTATTCATCCATCCAACGATTGCTCCCTGGTTGCATTTTTCGTCGCTGCCCCATACTATGAGCGTTAATCTAATCGTACAGCTCGTTTTGATCGGAACGATCGAAGTCGATGAAAGAGGCGGAAATGGAATCGTAGATTGAACGAGTCGACAAAACCGTGTACAACTGGACAGAAATACATGTGGAGTCATCGTAAATGTAACACAGTGTATCGAGGAAATCATCAGGCTGGAAGCGAGCGCTAAAACGGAGAAGGGGTCGTAAGACTTTTGTCCGATGAATCGAGCAAAGTTTCTTCCAACTGTATGAGTAAAATAGGCTGACGTGATAAATCGTTGTTGCACGTTTCTCTTTCTCTTTTACGCGTTACGTTCGAGCGTAGACGCTAGTCCGATGGAAACCAGTATTTAGTTTAGGGGTAGGACAAGTCGAGTATGATAGAGAAGCTGTAGAATGAAACGACAGATAAAACAACACTGTGAAACGAACGAGGATAAGAGATAGATCGAGCTACCGGCTGATAACACCTCATCACTCGATTATCCAGCCTTCAGTTTCGAATATTCAACGTTGCACCGTATCGAAAATATTACGAAGGCTATTCAGGTTCTGATTAATCGAGATGAACAGTACCGATAACTGTAACAGAGAAATCTGCGAGTAGAACTGATTGCGGATGTTTTGTCTATGCCACTTTGTACTAGGCGTTCAATGCTGGGATATACGAGTCATAATATACTGTTTTATATAAATGACAGTGTTTTTTTAAATTTCTAATAAAGGAAAATGTTCGGTATTAATCGATATAAGACTTCGCAAAAATCTCTCAAATGCCTGTCACCGCGTACAAATACCAGAAACTCTATAAATCGATTGTCTAACCAGTACGGCCTCAATCCCCTTCGCTTGGAAAGTTGACTTCGTTCGGCATCAAACGATTCAAATTAATTCCAAGAATTTTTTATTATACTTTTACTATTCCAAACATTTCGTTTAAAATAATCTCCACTGGCATTTCTTTTTCCTTTTTCTTATTATACACGCGTACTGTGCAACCTCAACTTACGATAAGAGCAGTCGGAATTAATTCTGACAAACTACACACTGGATTTACTTGTATCACACTAAACATCAGAGTCAAGATAATTTCCTACATTTTGTATCATATACCGTCTATTATCCACTCTGAATATACTTAACATAGAACAACACCAACCCCACAGCTTCCATCGGAAAAGATCCATCAAACCGTCCAACGAGAATATCGAATGTCCCTTTTCGCAGCTGCTAATCGTCATGCCGCCGAGCGAAGCGATTGAAAAAGCAAGAGAGAAAGGCAGAGAGAGAGAGAGAGAGAGAGAGATCGCGCGCGCGGGAACGGGGCAGCCGGTTAATTTGGTAGACTCGAGCGGATCTAAAGCGGAAGGTGGTAAAACTGAAAAATCAAGGGTCCCGGGCTCGGCGCGGG